CCCATTTTATAGATGAGAGAATTGAAAGAGATGTTAACATTCAGTTACGCTGCTAGACCTTTAATCAGAATATATAATTTTATTTATATTGGTATTATGCCTTTGCCTGCCATACTTCCATAATCTAGAACCACTTAGTGTAGGAATACATCTGTATATTCCTGCTAGTGTTATTTTTTTATATGCAGAACTTTTAATTATGTTTCAGGCACTGTGCTCATAGGAATACAATAGAGAGAGATGAGAAAGCTATGTTTATTTAAGAAAGCAAGATCATTATCATTTGTATTCAAAACAACTTGGCTTTAAAACAAACTTTGAGATACTATTAAGTCCACAGAATAGCATAAATTTTAGAAATGGTGACATGGTGAGATTGTGGTGGAATAAACATTTTAATTGCATTGTAGGTTGAGACACATCTTTTGGAATATATCAGAAAATGACTTCAAAAGCATCTGCACTCTTCTAATTTGTTTTAAGATAATTCCACAGAATAAAAAGCTGTAGTCAGTCCACAAACACTTGCCTGGTATATGTCAGGAACTGTGCATGTTGCCGGGAATTTCTAAAATGAGAGTGTTTTTGCTGTTTTCTTGGATTTCTAATTTGTGGCAACAATGTGGGCACAGATATGTAATCAGATAACTGACTACTGTGAAAGCTGGAATTCTAATCCAGATCTCTGACTCCAAAATCTCCCATGCAAGGAGTTATCAGATGTGTAATTCAACACATATTTCTTTTTCCCTCTTTCCTGATTCTTTTTCTTTCTACAAGTCTCACTCTCTTGCCCAGGCTGGAGTGCAGTCGTAACTCACAGCAGCCTTGAAATCCTGACTCAAGCAGTCCTTCTGCCTCAGCCTCTTGAGGAGTTGGGACTGCTACCATACCTGGCTAATCTCCTGCATTTTCTTAGATAGATTTTAATAGGAGAAAATACAGAAAAATGTATAATGTGTTTTAGGAAAAATCTCCTTATAAAACTATTACTTTTTTTTTTTTTTTTTTGAGATAGGGTCTCACTCTGTCGCCCAGGCTGGAGTACAGTGGCACAATCATGGCTCACCACAGCCTTGACCTCCCAAGGCTCAGGTGATCTTCCAGCTTCAGCTCCCTGAGTAGCTAGGACAGCAGGCATGCACCACCACACCTGGTTAATTTTTTTATTTTGAGTAAAGATGGTGTTCTGCCATGTTGCCCAGTCTGGTCTCGAACTCCTGGACTCAAGTGATCCACCTGCCTCAGCCTCCCAAAGTGCTGGAATTATAGGTGTGAGCCACTGTGCCTGGCCACAATTAAACATTTTAATATTTCGACAGTAGCTTTTTTACTGAACACTGTGTGTGAGACACGTTACGTATAATTTTTCCTTTGAGCTTCTATAGACCCTCCTTTTAATCCAGATTCAGAGTAACTTCATTTTCTTATTACTGTGAAAGCTGGAATTCTAATCCAGATCTCTGACTCCAGAATTTCCCATGTAGGTTAACCTTGGTTATTCAGAAAGTATACCTTCAGCGTACGTGTATTGAGTGTGGGCAAGTGCTATAATACATATGAAAAACTGCTTCTTTGCATGGGGTTTATGAGTTGAGACAAACATTTGTGTAAAAGGATAACAGGAAGAAGCAAGTCTTAAATATCAAGTGATGTACATTCTGAAGAGGCTCAAAACTGCAACAGTGGCAGGGAGAATGGGAGGAGAAATAGAAATGACTGAGGTAAAGAGTTTTCTAACTGTGAGGGAATGAATTTAGGAATAGTGAAAGAAAGAGGCAGAGCAAAGATCTTTTTTGCTAAGCTTTCCGAGACTGCGTAATTAAGTGTAATTGATACTTTAACAATAAAGGTCTTCAGAAGAGGAAGAGATTTTGGTAGAATGATGAGTTTTATTAATCTTGTGGGAGAGTTTAAGGATTCAAGTATACAGCAAAAGAAAATGAAAACAAAATAAATCTGGAATGCAACTTCAGTGAACAAATAAAATACAACCTAGCACATAAAGTACAGGCTTCAGTCTTGCTTTATTTTCTTTGTTCTTAGGCTAATGGCCTTTTCCTATTCTGTGTGGAGTCTTGGGATCAGATAAGTTACTTTAGTTTTCTACTTGTTGAATAGATTCTTTATTAATCTTCATTTATTTTATTTTATTTTTTTGAGAGTAACCCTGTTGCTTTTCCAAATCTTTTGAGGAATTTATTGATCTTTTTAAAGAACAGCTGTATTGAGATATAATTCCCATACCATAAAATTCACTATTTCAAAGTGTACATTTCAGTGGTTTTTACTATAGTCAGTTGTACAACCATCACCATTATCAATTTTTAGGACTTTTTCATTATAACAGAGAAACACCATACTCTTTAGCAGTCATTCCTCATACCCCTTCCTGCCAGGCCCTGACAACCACTGATTTACTTTCTATCTCTGTGAATTTGCCTATTCTGTATATTTCATATAAATGGGATTTTATAATGTATGACCTTTTGTGACTGACTTCTTTCACTTAGTATGTGTTTTTGAGGTTTATCCATGTTGTAACATGTATTAGTACTTTATTTTTTATAGTTGAATAATATTCCATTGTACGGCATTTTATTTGTACATTCATCAGTTGATGGACATTTGAGTTGTATCCTTTATGAACAGTGTTGCAGTGAACATTCATGTACAGGTTTGTGTGGACATAGGCTTTCATTTCTCTCGAGTAGAATTGTGAAGAGGGGAATTGCTGGGTCATATGGTAACTGTGTTTAACATTTTGTATTAATACCAGACTGTTTTCCAAAGTACCTGTGCCATTTGTAATCCCAGCAACAGTGAATGAGGGTCCAATTTCTCTGCTTCTTCAATACTTATTATTGTCTCTTTGATTTACCCATCTCAGTAGGTATGAAGTGATAGCTCATTGTGGTTTTGATTTTCATTTCCATAATGACTAATGTTGAACTTTCATGTGCTTATTGGCCATTATCTTTGGAGAAATGTCTTTTAGAATAAAAGAGACCCTTTTTTTATTGGTCTCTCTTAACAAAGGTCAGTGTTAACTGCTAGGTAGCATTTCATACCAGGCAATGGTAAATTTTTCATAAATTTTAGTGATAGACTTTTAGGTTTAGCTGGTTGTTAATCAAGACTGTTTTAAAGTGCTAATCCTCATAAGTAATCATTTAAAAAAAGTCCTGGTAAGATTTGCCTTTAGGGTGACTAGTACAGTCAGTAAGACTCAATTGAGCGTGTCACTATCATAATGAGGAGACCTAATTTTAATATTTTTGGAATGTCAAAAACAGTGACATTTTGATTAAGTAATTTTATTTTTAAAAATTATTTTTAATGGTTGATATTTTATAAGAATTTTAAGAATTTTCAACCCTGAGCATCAAATTTTAATTATGTGCATTGAATCTCTGTCTTAACCAGAGCAATTTCATCTTTTTCCGAGTATATTTAAATCTGCTTTGTGAAATGTGTTCTGATATGTGTCTTTTTTTTTTTTTTTTTTT